AACTGATTATTCAATAACCACAGGTAGTCAAGACTTCCATTTCACATCACATTTGACACTGGAACAACAATCTAACCAACAGAAGTAGCATACAACAGACAGAAAATGAGCAGCAAAATGGCCACCATAGAGTTATCCCAGCTGCTTCTGATATTGCTACTTGATTTCTCTTCAGAGGTTCTTTATTCCCTTCTGGTGTCCATAAATATTCATGTTAATTGACATGAGGACAGATTCTGGAGAATCCTTTCCATTATCAAATAAATCCATCTGTATCCAAACTACTATTAAAAATGACCCCAAAATTACAGTGGTTCTTGCTTGTCTCTGAAATTTTGAAGCAACAGCCTCCAAAGTCAAGTTGAAAAAAAAAAAAAAAGAAAAACAATAAAGGAGACAAATGAAAATTTAACTACCAATAAGAATAAAGCTCAGGACTGCCTTTTCACTCACGTCAGAATCAGACTTTCACATTGCTTTCAACTTTTTGAAGATTATATGACAATCAAATGTTGTTCTTAATTGCTTGGTAAGATTATGAAAGCTTCAGAGAAGGAAACAACAGAATCAGTCTTTTTCATAGACTTAAAACAATCTGTGTCTCAATCTTACATTGATTAGAAATCTGACAATATTTTATAAATATATATGTGTGCATAAGAAAGTTTACCTGTAGTGCACTCTGAACACTGAGTAAAATATTCCAAGAATAAATAAACTTTTAAGGATTCATACCACTTACAGCTGTTTGGAAGTCATTCCTAGGCATTTAGTTTATTTCTCCAAAATACTGAGGCAGTAAACACAATTTCAGAAAGGAAGAATTACATCTTTATCTGACTCAATTCCAAACCTTAACATTTGCATAGCTTGAAACTGAACAAAGCATCCTAATTTCTCAAAGTCTTTATATGGCAATAGTAATTACATGTGCAGAACTGTTAACTCAAAAACTCATTTCCAACCTAAGTTTTATACTGAAAGTGTTTCTCCATAACTTCAAGCCAGCATTACAGGGGTCACTCAACGTTTTCATTTTGTCTCCAACCTATCAGGCAATACAAAATACATACCTCCCAGCATCTCTCTTCTTTATTTAAGAATGGAGTATGAATGTCACACACAAATAGGCAATGAAAAACTGCCTTCTTTTTTTCTTAAATTGAACTCTATGATATAAAGACTATGATGCAATCTCTGTTTTCAAAGATATGGAAGAGAATAAACAGAATGTATTTCTTTACTGAAATAAACTATTTTGTGAATATGACAATGGCCAGGTAGCCAGAAAAAAAGAGAAATTATTCATATTGAAGAATACTACATATATATTCAATAATCTTGATGAGAAAAATATATCCTAATCCGTTTAATAATTGAATATATCATGACTTTTTGCTTTCTGAATATATTATACATTAATAGATTCTACCTTAGTTCTAAAATTGCTAGAAAATGGAATTACTATTAATTACTGTCCTTAACTACTCTAAAACATATTTACTTATCCATGTAAACTCATACAGTCAATAATCATAAGCTGAGTATCTAGTGCATGCTAGATCCCAGAAACATAAATATACACATATATGACTATGCCTTCAAAAAAGAAATATAGTATATAGAAAGCCAGACATGTAAATACACAAATTATAATGTAGACCATGAAAAAATATATAAATAATTGTCATCGATGAAAAATAATAATGCAGTAACCATCTTGCCTTAGGAGGTCAGTAAAAGCATCTAAGGAAAAGCAATTTTTGAACTGAGTCTTGTGGGAGAAACAATTCACCAGGAAGGTAACATACGAAAACAGAGAGTTTTCCAAGTAGAAAGAATAAAACTGTGCCATTCAAAGGCCATCTGGTATGTTTATGAACATGTGTGAAAAGCTTGGCATCACCAGGGCATTGTGTCCATAGTAGGATGTGTTAATAGAAGACACTAAAGCCACAGTTTGATGCTAGTCTATAGGGATTTTTTTTTTTCTCCTAAGAAAAGGAGTTTTGGACTAATTCCTATGCACAACAGGGCACATATTAATTTTAAAAGTGAGATAAAGGATCCAAGTTATTTTTCAGGAAAACAAGTCTTGTAGAAGTTGAAAGTAAGTTTGGAAAGGGGTTGGATGTTTGATATCATATAGGTAACTCTTCTATCTATCTACCCAAGAGAGAAAAAACAGCTGAAATCAAGAAATGTATGCAGCAGAAACAAATTTAGAAACTAATTAAAAATATGGTAAGAGAAAAGTATATGCTGATGTTACTAAAGCTAAGGTGAATCACTTGTATCCAAACTGTAGTAACTTCTAGAATAACAGATCTCAACCTTTTTGGGTTACAGATCTACTTAAGAATCCAGTGGAAACCATAGTGCTACTCTGATATGCTCACATACACAGAATTCTCAGTTTGTTTTTAGGAGATCTATAGACCCCAGTTAAGCAATTCTGCTTTAGAGCCCCTGGAGTTCAAGGCTACAGTGAGCTATGGTTGTACCACTGAACTCTAACCTGCATAAACCTGTCTCTAAAAACATAAAGAATAAAAGAGAATTTCTGTTTTAGATGAAGTTCACTGAGGAAAGAAGTTTGTATCTGACTTAAATCTATTTCCATAGCGTCTAGCATAAAACATGGTACAGCGTAGGCAGTTCATTATTTTTTAGTTAGAATGAATTCTCCATTAAAAATGGAAAATTTTATTAACTATCTGCATCACTGCATCCCCTCATGAAACTACATTATGCATAAGTAATTTAATATACTATTCCCATGCCCATTCTTGAGTATACTTAAAATCATCTTTCCTTTATCTTTTTGGTATTGTTCTAGTCATAACTATATTCATCTCTTCAAATGTTTATGTTTGTATTTATGGTACTATCATAGTATTCCTAATTAGATACTTTCTGAGAGAGGACAGTGATGAAAGAATTGAAAGTGGAAAAGGCCTAAGGAGCGATGCAACGCCAAATGGAATGTCTGACTTCCTTACCCTGCTGACCTGTGCACTACGCATTTTTCCCATCTTTTCCTAGTCTAACCTTTATAAGAGGAATGTAAACAGTTTGGTCACTGAACATAACTTACATAAGTTCATAGTAGAAAGGAGAGGGAGGAATGATGGGCAGGAAGATTTAACTCCCCAAGAAAGAGATAATCGGAATACAAAATATGCCTGTGCGCTTATGAAGCAGCAGCATGCATAATGTTTGTAAGCATGGACTCCAAAGACAGACTGTTTGGTTAAACTCTGGTTTTCGTTATTTAACTTCTCTTTGCCTCAGTTTTCTCATCTGTAAAACAGAATTAATAATAATACTTCACTGAATTACCATGAAGGTGAAATGAATTATTATACCATCAAGAAGTGCTAAAAACACCACTTCTACATGTCTGACATATGAGTTAGCTAAAACATTCTTCTATTTTTTTTTTTTTTTGAGATGGAGTCTTACTCTGTCACCAGGCTGGTGTGCAGCGGCGTGATCTCGGCTCACTGCAACCTCCACCTCCTAGGCTCAAGTGATTCTCCTACCTCAGCCTCCCACGTAGCTGGGCTTACAGGAATATACCACCATGCCAAGCTAATCTTCGCATTTTTAGTAGAGACAGGGTTTCACCATCTTGGCCAGGCTAGTCTCAAACTCCTGATCTCAAGTGATCTACCCACCTTGGCCTCCCAAAGTGTTGGGATTATAGGTGTGAGTCACCGTGCCCAGCCTAAAACACTATTCTTGGTGGAATAACCTTGGCATTATCAAATGCCCAAAAAAATCTTGACCCATGAGGCTGAAATGTTGAATGGCAATTTTTAAATCTAACATGAAAATCAAAGTATTAATCTGTTACACAGCTATCAGAAGATATCTGATTCTTCTTCTTGGTTTAATTCCACATGCTGTAATTCAAAAACATGAACAAGTGGACATATTTCAGCACTAATTATATTTATGACAGGCAATAATTTCCTGGAGAAAAAAAAAGATTTAGCAGAATCAGAGCTGTTTTTAAAGGTAGAAGAATGTAAGATAAAATATATTTTTGTTGGTATAATTCGGGTTCAAATTAACAACACTAACACCCTTAAAGTAGAAAAGGTGGAGCAGTCATAAAAATGTGACATCCACCCAAGCAGCCATGGTGAAAATGTGAGGATGCCTTTAATGACAGGTAAGTGCCCCGCAACCTTCTTAACAATATGATTCTATGTATTTAAGTTGCTAAGAGGGACCACAATGACTTATTTGTGTTTGTGTGTGCTGTTTAAGCTGCAGCCAGAGATGCTATGCTGCCTTCTTTCCTCTCATCTACAAAGCCCTGGTTTCCTAATCTTTTACAGTGATCTAGACCCCAGGATGAGGGGTCAGAGGATTTACCCTGAGTTGTGTATTCCAGAATACGATGCAAAAAAAAAAAAAAAAAAAAAAAGAATTGCTGAATTAACAAAACAACAGTGTGAATAGGCCTGAGTTATAAATTAATGTAGTCACATTAGAAAACTATAGTCTCTATGAAATATATTCTTCTATGAAATGCCAAGTACTGTTAAGGAATACTATACAATCCAATCTTGGCAAAACAAAAAAGAAAAACACTGATTTATCATGGTGGAGAAGTTCAAACTCTGTTCATTGTAACTATACCAGAAAAAAAACTTATTAGAAAAAGTATGACATCAAACTTTCATGCTGAATAATTTTAAATATCTTAAACATTATTTTTACATTTTGTATGTTTTTCCCTCTAATTAAATTGTAAGTGTCTCAAATGCAAGAATTCTTGAAAAACACAAAAGAAACAAAAATAGCATATCCTATGCTCCTTATCGGAACAAATTTACTTTTAAAGAATTCTAAGATGCCAGGGGTAAATCTTGTATATGAGTTATTAAGTAGATGTTAATTATAAGCAAAGGACTGAGGCCAAACTATTAAGAGGAGTACACTGGTCAAAAAGTGAGTGTAGGCACAATAAACCATGAGAAACCTACCATTGTATTGTGCTGAGAAGTGGGAGTCCTATGGCCACAAGTCTCTTGCGTCAGCAGAGAAACTGGTTGAAATTCCTCAGAGTGAGGCTTGTTGGGAAAACTCACATGCAAGGGAAGGTGAAAGGCTGGGAGCCCGTCACTCTCCTCTTCTTCCACTTTCTGTCTGCTTGTCACCATGGCTACCTCTCCATCTGCTTCCCCATACGGAGAGGCTGGTCGCTTGGAAGACATCCTGGAAGGAACAAAAGAGGAGAAAATAATGAAACCTCCACATAAATCCTTAATGCCGTCATTGTGTGGTTAGGGGCCATTGTAACAGAAATGCCTTTTTGTGCTAGCAGAGAGCAGGAAACCATCCAAATACCACTGCAAAGCACACACAATCAGAAACAATGGCCAAGCAGGTAGCAACAGAACAGTGCTTGTTTGTTGTGAGAATAATACACTAATATAGCACTCTCTTGTATTCTGGCTTCTTAAACAAGAGAATTCACCTAAGAACACTGCATAATGAAAGACCATTCCATTTTAGAGGAAAGAAAAATACCCATCTAGTTTTACACTCTGATAGACCTTATTGAAGACAGAACATCTATGAATAGCAAATACTGTTGGCAGTCTAAAAGAAGAGAAATAACTAAAATTTCTTTCATCAAAAAAATAGACTCAATATATAAATGATTGCCATTAAAACATATTTGCATTTTGTTGAAAAATTACTGTAAAATGTAGAAATAGTGGTTATAAGCAAACCTCAGAGCAACTGACAAAAAGTTTAATATTTGTTTAAAGCTTATTAAGGATTGAATCAATTTTATAATCACTGTTAATCTTAAAACATTTGAGAATTTTCTTTCCCTCACCTCCCCAAACTACCCAATTTTGGCATTTAGTTATAATAACAAAGTTGTGAGGTAGCAAAAAGATGAGAATATTAAAATAATTCAATTCCACTTTCACAACTCCATGAATGATTTAGATGTGAATAATTCTGATTTATTTGTCCTCAGAATATTTAAATAAAAGAAAAAAATCCAAAGAAGGCTATTTTATTTTGATGAGCTGAAGCCTACATGAAAATTAGCTTAGATAACCAAATAAGAATTAAACATTTTCTTTGTACCTGAGACTGATTAAGAATATTATTAGAGGTTAAATATATGTGGCAAATATTTTAAATAGAAAATTCCTTTTCCTTTCATTAAAATATTTACATAGAAATAAAATCAAGTTAAAATATTTAATTTAAAAACTTTCTGGTAGTCTTTATAACTTAATCTGACCCTGAAAAAGTTTTTTTTTTTTTTTCAACAAACAAAGAGTGTTTACAAAATCATTCATTCTTATTCTAGACCAGTGAGATGGGAGGCAGGGAAGTATTTACTAACTACCGCAACACTTTCTTCATATAGATCACTGATTTTTAAATTTAAAATGCATTCCCCCAAATGCCACTAATCACTGTTGAATGATATTATTTTTAGAGTTAGAAGTTTCAAAAGAAAAAATGCATTCAAGTACTGAAGATATTGCATTAAAAATAATAGGACAAGATAAAAAATAAGGAGTTTAGAATCAGACAAGATTTAAAATACTGATTCTGTCACTTATTAGCTGTGAGACTTAATTTCTCTATCTCAACTTACTCATCTTTAAGATGAAAAATATCTACCTGATAAGACTTTTTGAAAATGGACTTTGCACCCTGTGAAAAATAACCAGTGTATTATTTAACACAGAATACACACTCGATAAATAACCCCTGTTTATTTAACAAGCTTAAACTGCAGTGTGACTCACCCACCCTCAAAAAATAAAAACACTCAAACATGAGGAAAACAGATTGCTTACTAAAGGGTTTAACTGTAAAATCAGCATGAAATACAGTTTCCCATTAGAGAAATGGCCCCTGCCTAGCAATACTTAGCAGTAAACTGACCAAATGTAATAGCAAGTACTCAAAACAAAACCTTAATAATACAGGTGTTGATCAGCCAAAGAAACAGATAAAGAGGAGGAAATAGGGAAGCCACCATGCCATCACTATGTAAAGGAGAAGTAGATTTGGATACCAAAGTTCAGGTAATTTCAACTGTTTCCAATCCCATGACCACAGCCTATTCCAAGTATATTCTAAGTATGGAGAAGTTTATGAGGGGCTAGAATTAACAGAGTTAGAATAGTTCTAATTTCATTGGCAATACCATATCGCCCACCAAACTGATATATTACTAAACATAACAACCCATGAACACTAGAGATATTTAATTGCCACTGTTCTGATTCCATGTTCTACAGGCAAACTTCTGATTCTCATACAAAGAGTTTGTGGACAGAACAGACTTAAAATATTTAAGGTCTTTGTGAAGTGATTTATTAAACTAATAAAGAAACTTTTAATTATTTCTTAGTTTCACATGTAGCTTGACTATAAGGAGCTTATGCCTTTGTTATACAAACCTTAGCATTTGTGGTCTATGTGGGCATTATCATTCTTACTGAAATTAATACATTGGTATTCTGGTGTCTGTCTCAGCCTCACGTGCAGTCTCTCAATGTCTAAAACCTCTAGTCTCTTGACAACGGCCAGTTTCTGGGCCATCAAAACAGAAAGCAAGATCAGCTAGCCATTCGTAAGTTTATACAATTCTATGATCTTCAGAACCATGACTTTTCTGTTGATTTCTACTTTATTAATATCATTATTAACATCAATTATGAAAATTGAAAGTCCAAAAGTAGACATAGGTAGTTAAGGTAGACAGATAGTCATTGATAGATTTTTTTTCAAAACTTCTAGTTATTTCAGAAGCTAAATTAACTTTCTATTTAACTGGTAAGTATTCTCTATATAAAGCATTCTAGGGAGCAAGAAGGTTAAGTTTTATAACACTGACATGGAAGAGCTACGGTGCCAGAAGGCAACTGATCTTGGAATGTCACATATCTTATGCTTACTTCAATTCCATTTTCAGAGTTTTATAGAATGTTCTTAATGCACTGAACTTGAAAGTATTTTTAATTTAATTCAGGTAAAAGATTTCTTAGAGATTTGTTAAATTATTATAATAAAAACAATCATGGTTATATTTCAACTATAGGATACTAAGTCAGAAAAATAAACTATATAACAAATTACATATAGAGATGTCAATCTGTTGGTTGTATTATTCATGTTTACTATGACCCACAGTACTTCTAAAAGATATTGACAACAAAATCACCAATAACATTAGGTTCTAAATTTTTGTCCATCTACCAAAGTCTTCCATCTTGGAGAGAAAAAAAAGCCTCATTAAGAAGGCACCGCAAATGTCCATATATTGGTCTTCTGGGATATATAGCTTACACTACATGACTTACACTAACTATGTATCTGTATTGCAGTAACAATCTGAGTATCTAGGCTGGTGTATGCTCTTATATATCCTTCAGACATGATTTTTGTCACTTCTGTGATGCTAGACTTACCAATGAACAAAACTCAGACTTCAAAGAAACTGACACAAGACAGACAAATGTAATCTAATGTGAAACTGCCTTGGGGAGCTATGATGACATAACACCGGTCTTAACTCACTTTGTGGTTAAAAAAAAAACTTCTTGATAGAACTGACATCTAATTTTAAGACGCGCAAAATCTTCCATCATCAGCAACTAGTTGCTGATCATCTACCGTGTGCAAGACACTTATATAATGGGAATAAAAAACCTATTTCTCAGCCTCTGATTAAAGAAGCATATGAGCTGGTTGAGAATATTTTAAATAAAAGGACAAACACGAATGAAAGACAGCTCAGTCTAAATGCCAGATGACATTATAGCTAAGTATTTGAGTGCTTCTTGAGGACCAGAGCATCCTTAAATGCTGCACAGAATGGTTGAACCAGTTGGTTTTCAAGGAAAAAGAATAAATAAACAATGTACAATAAACAGAGAAGTAATTTCATATAGAAAGTAATGATAAAAGCAAAGATGCAGAGATGCTTTTAGAAAGGATTATATAAATTTAGGGTTCAAGCTTACTCGAAAAAAGAAAAGATTGAGGAAGATGGATCAAATCCCATGTGTAGATTATAACACTCCTGAAATTGCTGTTACATGAACAAAACAAGAAACATCCCGCCTTGTAAAAAACAACTTGATTTTGACAGGAAAGTGTCTCCTTCCCTTCATTTCCCCTTGTAGCATTCTGTACAATCAACCTACTCTTGATAAATGTGACAGTAAATATAAAACTACTGGGGTTTTTTGCTCTTGGCTGATGGCTCTCCATGTGCCTTATAATCGCTCTGCAAGTAGGATATCCCAAATGTGTTCAGACATGGACAGCAAACTTAGAGGTGGGGTAGAAGGTATAAGACTGAAACAGAAAATAAAGTAGTGGTTCTAAACCTTTCACTGGACACTGGCATTACCTGGAGAGGTTTTAAAAATACTGATCCCTGGGTTTTACCCTTAGAAATTCCCTTAGAATGCCAGGCGTGGTGGCTCACGCCTGTAATCCCAGCACTTTGGGAGGCTGAGATGGGCAGATCACGAGGTCAGAGGTTTGAGACCAGCCCAACCAACATGGTGAAACCCCATCTCTACTAAAAATACAAAAATTAGCCAAGCATGATGCCACATGCCTGTAATCCCAGCTACTCGGAAGGCTGAGGCAGGAGAATTGCTTAAACTCAAGAGGTGGAGGTTACAGTGAGCAGAGAGTATGCCACTGCACTCCAGCCTGAGCGACAGAGCAAGACTCCATCTCAAACAAACAAACAAAAAAAGAAATTCGCTTAGAAATTCTGATGTCATTGATTCTGAAGGGTGACTAGGTATCAGAAAATTTTAAAGATCCTCACTGATTTTAATATGCAGTCAATGTTGCAAACAATGGGTGTAGTAAAAATAATGCACCCCCAAGCCAAGATGTCCGGATCTTAATACCTTACATGTCAAAAGGGACTTTGCCTATGTAATTAAGTATTTTGAAATGAGAAGATTATTTTAAATATTGTTGGTGGGTCCAAAGTAATATTATACACCCTTAGAAGAGGGAAAAGAAAAGTCAGAGTCAGAGGAAGACGCTAGATGATACTATGCTACTGGCTTTGAAGATGGAAGATGAGGCCATGAGCCAAGGAATGTTGACAGCCTCTTGAAGCTAGAAAATGCAATGGAAAAGATCCTTTCCTAGAGCCTCTAGAAGAAATGTGCCCTGCCAACACCTTGATTTTAGGACTT